AATTGTATCTCTTTTAAAATAACATCGGTCATATCGATAAAAGAACTAATTAGAAGAGAAAAATGTTTATTATTGTTTTTCAAAAAAGAAATTAGTTTTTAAGTTACTGGCTACTGAAAATTTGTTTTTTGGCGTTTTTCAACGTTTTTTGCAAACATTTCTAAAAATATACATTTTAACGAAAATCATGTAATGAACAAAATTATATCAATTAAAATCTTAATAAAACGGTGTTCTATAAAGCGCTTCTAGAAACAATATTAGGCTAGATATGAAGATTGTGTTTTATAGTACTCAAAATAAGCATTAAAATGAGTACTTCTGCGTGTAAAATCAATGAGCTATCATACAATGTTTTCTTCATTTAAATCAAATAGTTTATGAGTGCCATTTCCACCACAATTAAAAATAATCGTATTCCCTCTAGAATTAACTTACAAACGTACAAACGATTTCCAAAAAGCTCATGATTTCATGAAAAATAAAATCTATTTAAAAAAAAAAAAAAAACGATTTCTCATTATTATATCTCTGAAAGAATAAAAGATATGAATAAAGGTATATAGATGAAAATTCAAAGTCTTTTTTTGACAAATTATTGCTTTTTATTATTTTTTTGTTACACAAATATTGATAGAGTTATGTTTGTTTAAAGAGTGCGCGGTTGTCCAACCAGAGTGTCTTTTGAGCCCTTCAATCCTTTGTTGTTTCAAAATAAGAGAAGTTACGGTAAAATTTATAATGAAAGTTGTAGCTTATTTAATTATCTTTAAAATAGTGTATTACAAGTTCTGATAAAATCAGAATTAAAAGAGTTATAATCCAATTAATGCAATGAGTGGTGTCGGAGTACAAATTGTTTTCACTTCTAAACTTAAGATAAAAATTAGCCTATTTCCGATACACGCTTATTTTTCTCTCCATTTAATGCAATAATTTTGTTGATCATAAGTTAAATAGAGCACATATGAACAGGATTTGACAAGTTAATTCACTTCAAATATAAACTTAAGTAATAATGTATATTGAATTATTAGTGAGAAAAATGTAATTTAGATATTAAAATTACTAAAAGCCAGTTAAAATATGGTATGAAATTATAAAAATTATAGGCAACAATATTGAAGCAATTATTTTGGGTAGAAAAATCCAAGGTGATATTGTACCTTTTCCGCGAATGCTATATATTAATTTTTTCTGAATTTGTTATACCTTTTAAAAGACTTCAATTTCCAATACGTATATCTGATACTATGACCATAAATCACAAAAGCAGACGATTATTTTTAATGTGATACATTTGTAAAATCATTGTTATAGTCGTGAATAAACAAAAAATTATTTATTTATACATCCACATCTGAAGGTATGTATAAAAAATTGTATAATCCTTGGCATTAAAATAAATTGCGATATTGAAAATAAATTTGTAGTGTATAATTTTTAATATACAATTTTATTGAACATATTTTAATATTTGTTAAAAGAATAATTAAAGTGTTAACTGTGGGAATTGAGAATCATCATTTTATTTGAAGCAGTTCTACATTCAACATCACTTATATATTGGTTTAAATAGTAATTCGAAAAACAATAATTATTATTTTCAACTGAATGATAAATATTAGTATATGATATTGAAAAAACGTAGATATGGGTACAGGACAACGTCTGTGGACTATCTAGTATATATATGCGGCAGCACCCATGTGCTGCCCTGCCATTAGTACGACCCTGCCGTACCTCGTGATTGCCCTGCGTGATGCGCACGCATCAAGATGGCCGACTCCGTCCTGTATAAAAGAAACGGCCATCGAAGCAAAAGACCTCTTCAACCATCATCGGCCAACAAGAACCAATCAATACACAAATTGTATTAAATAATAATAAATAGTATTGAACCAAATCAATCTGTTATTATTCAGCAACCACTTCAATGGTGACCCCGACGTGATTTGAACACGCAACCTTCTGATAGTACTGCCCGACCATCAAGTAGCCCTTGGTCATCACCGTTACATCTAGTTCAAAAGAAAGACGATGCATGGAGACCACGTGGAGACTACAGAGCATTAAATGCAAGAACAATCCCGGATAGGTACCCAGTCAGGCTTATGAGTGACTACTCACAACACTTATCAGGTTGTAACATATTTTCAATAATAGACCTAGAGAAAGCATACCAGCAGATACCTGTTTACGATGAAGATATTCCCAAGACGGCAATTACAACACCTTTTGGTTTATTTGAGTTTCCCTTTATGACATTCGGCCTACGTAATGCAGCGCAAACTTTTCAAAGATTTATGGACGAAGTAACCAGTGGATTAGATTTTTGTTTTCCATATATTGATGATATTCTAATCGCATCCAAGAGTGAAGAACAACATGAACGCCATCTTCGTAGACTATTCCAACGTTTAGCAGATTATGGTATAGTAGTAAACCCATCTAAATGCATTATAGGCGCTAAAGAAGTTACATTCCTAGGATACTGCATTACAGAACATGTCACAAAACCCCCAAAAAAGAGGATAACCGCATTGTTAAATTTTCCATAACCAAAAACTATAAAAGGATTACGGAGATTCTTAGGCATGATAAACTTTTATCGAAAATTTTGTCCGAATGCTGCCAGATATCAAGCAGATTTACAAGTTTTATTGTCAAAACCTAAATCAAAGGATACAAGCCAAATTGACTGGGATGATAAACTTACAGCACCTTTCGAAGCTTGTAAGAAGAATCTCGCTGAAGCTACCTTACTAACGCATCCATTGCCTGATGCACAACTTGCTTTATTTACAGACGCTTCAGACAAATCCGTGGGTGCAGTGCTACAACAATATACAAACGGTGAATGGAAACCTCTCGCTTATTTTTCGAAGAAAATTTCTGAAAAACAAAGAACGTGGCCAGCGTACTACCGCGAGCTTTTAGCAGGGTATAAAGCATTTCAATACTTCAAGAATCAAATTATTGGTCGTAACTTTATTTGGTTCACCGACCACAAACCACTTGTGTATGTTTTTCAGCAAAAACACGACCGCCTACCACCAGTTCAACTCAATCAGATAACATATATGTCACAATTCACGACAGATGTTAGACATGTGAGCGGGACAAAGAATATTCCGGCTGATTTGTTTTCTAGAATTGAATCAATCAGTTCCCACTTGGAAATTACCGAAATAGCAAAAGCTCAAGTGGAGGACAAGGAGCTTAAACAATATTTATCGATGAAAACTGCCTTACAACTTAAGAAACAAAGTATTCCAGGATCAAATTACTCCATATACTGCGACACATCTCAACGAAGAGAACGACCATTTGTACCTGTAAGTCTAAGAAAGAAAATTTTTGACAGCCTGCATAACTTAAGTCACCCAGGACCTAGACCAACAATAAAACTAGTGACACAGCGCTTCGTTTGGCCAAACATCCGCTGGGACTGTAGGGTTTGGTCCAGAGAATGTTTAAAATGTCAGCGGAGTAAAGTAAGCAGGCACACCGTAACACCCATTAAGAAATTCAATGTGCCAACATCAAAGTTCTTGCAGTTACATATTGATATAGGAGGTCCATTACCTCTATGCAAAAATTTTCGTTATCTGTTAACTGTCATAGACCGATACACTCGATGGGTTGAAGCATATCCAATTCCAGATATTACATCAGAAACGGTAACACATACATTTCTTTTATGTTGGGTCTCATGCTTGGGAGTTCCAGCTCAAGTCACGAGTGACAGAGGAAGACAGTTTGACGCCTCACTATTCCGAAATGTCGCACAGGCATGTGGAACCCACTTGATACAAACATCAGCTTATCACCCGCAATCAAATGGTTTGATTGAGACAGTACATAGGACCTTGAAAGCAGCTCTAATGTGCCATGAGGATCATTCATGTATAGAGGCTTTACCATGGGTATTATTAGGACTTCGCTCAGCTGTCAAAGAAGACTTAAAAAATTTGAGTGCTGAACTCACTTATGGCGAGCCACTCAGAAATCCACAATAATTCTTCACAATATCTACAGAACCTTCAACATCCGAAGTCCTTACAAAACTTCGAAATACTTTCAGCAAATTGAAACCAAGACCCACTGCAGTCCATAGTCCACGGAAAACATTTGTCCACAAAGATTTGGACACTACAGAGTATGTTTTCGTAAGGCAAAATACTATCAAGCCAGCACTGTCCCAACCATATAAAGCGCCGTATGCAGTTCTAGAAAGAGGCGACAAAACCTTTAAACTAAATATCAATGGACGAGAAAAAAGTGTTAGCAAAGACAGGCTAAAACCAGCATATACCGCGCAGGAACACCCAGCAGAGACTTACAGAACAAGAAGTGGAAGGCAAGTACGCTTCGCAAATTACACAGAATAAGTTTTTTTTTCCTTTTTCCATAGGGGGCGCTGTGCGGCACCACCCAAGTGCTGCCCTGCCGTACCTCGTGATTGCCCTGCGTGATGCGCATGCATCAAGATGGCCGCCTCCGTCCTGCATAAAAGAAACGGCCATCGAAGCAAAAGGCCTCTTCAACCATCATCGGCCAACAAGGACCAATCAATACACAAATTGTATTAAATAATAATAAATAGTATTGAACAAAATCAATCTGTTATTATTCAGCAACCACTTCATATATATATATATATATATATATATATATATATATATATATATGTTAACACTAATCGTCTTTATTATAAACGCAATGTTCTCTTAATTATTTATTTACTCAAACTACACTAAGTTCTCTATTATACGTATTATGTTCTCTACTCTATGTATTATATTCTCTTGTTTTCCTACACTACAACTGTCGACCTACTAGATTCACGCTGTCATTAGTACGAACATATATCCCAACAGCGCCATCTATTTATAGCCAACATTTTGCTATCCTGCTCTTTGTATCAGTCGTCCTCGACTGTAACAATTCCATTTCTTTAGTCGTTTCCATTGCCTTTAGTCTTTTCTGAGTTACGATCACTCCCAATTATTTGCCACTCTGTATTTGGAGTTCTTTCTATTTTTTCTAGCATGAAATCCATGTTCCTTTTTTTCTCTACAACTGGACTTTCCACGATTGGCCTCTTTACGTTTGGACTCTTTGCAATTGCACTCTTTACAACTAGATTCCTCATGATTGGGCTCTTCACGATTACAACAGGATTCTTCACGATTGGACTCTTTACTAATGGACTCTTCACTATTGGGCTCTTCACAATTACAACAGGATTCTTTGCGATTGGACTTTTCACTAATGGACTCTTCACGATTACAACAGAATTCTTCACAATTGGACTCTTCACTAATGGACTCTTTACTATTAGGCTTTTCACGATTACAACAGGATTCTTCACGATTGTACTCTTCACTATTGGGCTCTTCACGATTACTACAGGATTCTTCACGATTGGACTCTTCACTAATGGACTTTTCACTGATGGACTCTTCACTATTGGGCTCTTCACAATTACAACAGGATTCTTCACAATTGGACTCTTCACTAATGGACTCTTCACTAATGGACTCTTCACTATTGGGCTCTTTCCCTATTGGCACAATACAATCATCAATCTCGCTTTCCAACACCATTCTGTATACCTCATGATTGGACACTACACCAGACTTCACTCTCTCATCATAAACCATCGATACAAGCATTTTCATCATTTCATCTTCTTGGCGTCTGCTTTCCGAATACATTTTGTATAACTCTTGTAGGTCACTCATATTGTTTTTTTGTTATTGAAATGTCACAATCATAATCTCACAAATTCTGATTCGTCACTAAAATATCTTTAGGTATATCCCTGAGTAATCCTTGAGTAATCCCACTTCTGAATTGTTAACTCTTATCGTCTCTATCAAAACACAATGTTCTCTTAATCATTTATTTACTCAAACTACACTAAGTTCTCTATTATACGTATTATGTTTTCTACTCTATGTATTATGTTCTCTAGTTTTCCTACACTACAACCGTCAACCTACTAGATTCGTCATTAGTACCAACATATATCCCAACAGCGCCATTTATTCATAGCCAGAATATATATATATATATATATATATATATATATATATATATATATATATATATATATGTGGCGATATCAAGCAGGCTGGTTTTGATTTGTAAAAAACAATCGGACATGTCATGTATATTTTTGATATCGAAATATTTTTACAGTTAATAAATTTATATTTTTTTATTATGTTGGGAGTTTCTAATTTAGTATATTGTCATAATCATTACTACTCCCACATTGGTGACTCACGACGATGGAGATGAAGACAAAAAAAGGAGTTTTATTTTTCGAGGATTTAAGAAAAATTGATTTTGACGCAGCACCATAATCACTGGTCTTCAGTGACGACCTATAAGGTATGTCCAGTCCAATCCATCATAGTTAACGCACTTACTATCTGGATCAGACTTCCGAGGTTACTCATTTGGTATACCCAGACCTCAGTGTTTATTGCTGACAGAAAAAATAATTTGGAGCCTGAACTTTTCATTGGAATGCAATTCAACCTCTCTTTCTCTGTTAACTCAACAAATCGTCTTATAATGCTACCTCCCATTATCGGTGACAACGACGAATCAAAACAAAATTTGACATAATTTATTGGATTCCACAATTCTGGACTCTTATGTCAAAGAAACCAATGATCCTGATTTGGATAAAGAGCCAACTTCTTTCTCTGATCGGAACTCATCAGATACGAATGCAACGCTTGCAGAAATGGAAACTGTACCCATAAATTATGCATTCTAAACATTAAGTTATTCTGATATAACTAATACCCATTAGATCGAGAACATTATGCAGAATATGGAGTTGATGGCAGGTCAAATTACCACATACGGTGGATCTGCTGACGAAACATGGAAATTTGTAATTGACCAGTATTACAACACTGGTCTGCTATAATCTGCTTTCCCACCACATTTTTATAACGTGTTTCCCTGTATTTTTTTTTAAACTGTGAGATCAACACTGGGCAGGGAGTGTGTGGCGATATCAAGCAGGCTGCTTTTGATTTGTAAAAAACAATCGGACATGTCATGTATATTTTTGATATCGTAATATTTTTATAGTTAATAAATTTATATTTTTTTTATTATGTTGGGAGTTTCTAATTTAATATATTATCATAATCATTACAACTCCCACATTGCATTCGTATCTGATGAGTTCCGATCAGAGAAAGAAGTTGGCTCTTTATCATAATCATTACTACTCCCACATTGGTGACTCACGACAATGGAGATGAAGATAAAGGAGTTTTATTTTTCGAAGATTTAAGAAAAATTGATTTTGACGCAGCACCATAATCACTGGTCTTCAGTGACGACCTATAAGGTATGTCCAGTCCAATCCATCATAGTTAACGTACTTACTATCTGGATCAGACTTCCGAGGTTACTCATTTGGTATACCCAGACCTCAGTGTTTATTGCTGACAGAAAAAATAATTTGGAGCCTGAACTTTTCATTGGAATGCAATTCAACCTCTCTTTCTCTGTTAACTCAACAAATCGTCTTATAATGCTACCTCCCATTATCGGTGACAAGGACGAATCAAAACAAAATTTGACATAATTTATTGGATTCCACAATTCTGGACTCTTATGTCAAAGAAACCAATGATCCTGATTTGGATAAAGAGCCAACTTCTTTCTCTGATCGGAACTCATCAGATACGAATGCAACGCTTGCAGAAATGGAAACTGTACCCATAAATTATGCATTCTAAACATTAAGTTATTCTGATATAACTAATACCCATTAGATCGAGGCTAAATCTTAGAAGTTCACCGACATCGAGGTACAGGAAATTTTCCACATTTTTTTTTTTTTTTTAGTCAGAACCTTATGCAGAATATGGAGTTGATGGCAGTATCAAATCACCACATACGGTGGATCTGCTGACGAAACATGGAAATTTGTAATTGACCAGTATTACAACACTGGTCTGCTATAATCTGCTTTCCCACCACATTTTTATAACGTGTTTCCCTGTATTTTTTTTTAAACTGTGAGATCAACACTGGGCAGGGAGTGTGTGGCGATATCAAGCAGGCTGGTTTTGATTTGTAAAAAACAATCGGACATGTCATGTATATTTTTGATATCGAAATATTTTTACAGTTAATAAATTTATATTTTTTTATTATGTTGGGAGTTTCTAATTTAGTATATTGTCATAATCATTACTACTCCCACACACATATATATATATATATATATATATATATATATTCAATAGATAAGTCCTGGATTTTTTCAATATATTGATTGTTTCTTTTCCGAACAGTAAATCCAATAATAAAAAACAATTTGTTTTTTGAAGATGTTTAATAACGACGTTTCGGAACTAGGTACGTTTCATCATCAGTTTTATTCTGTCAAATACAATGTTTTTTAAAAATATTGATTAACATTAATTAATGATGGTCAATACAGATTAATTAAAAAAAATTTTTTTATAAAGGAATGGATTATGTACCGGGGTAAAGAGTAATAAGAATTAACTAAAAAAGGTTTTATATAAAATTGAGAAGCATTATTTACCTGTAATAATTTATATATCCATATCACTAATATTTTTTTGTTAAAAACACTCGATTTTTTGGAGGATATTTGTAGATGTTACGACTACACAAGACTTAAACACACTGATATGGAGTTCTGTCGGCGGAAAGAGGAAATATTGCTTTAGTAAATGTTGAGAAGTATTATGTATATATATACATGCACATGCATATGCACACCTACATACTCATACATACATATGCACATATCTATATATTAATGTATCTACAATTATATACATGAACATATACGCAAGTGCATGTATATAGTGTATGTTCAAAAACATACATATAAGCACATATATGGATGTGCATATATTATAACACATATACATGTATATATATATATATATATATATATATATATATACATATTCAAAAATTATTAGGATTAATTGTTTTTAATCAGGTTTAAAAAATTTAGATACGAGTCATGAATGATATTGTGATCTGATCTTTTATTAACACTATTTGACGAATTCAAAAAGATTAAACTGCTTTCAGAAAAAAGTTTTTTAAAAGTACAATCCTCTCTATATAAAATATTGGGTTCAAAGGTAAAATTATGTGAGTTTTCAATAGAATGTTGGACAAGAGTGCTTTGGAAATTTCGGCTTTTATGATGAGTGACGCTTAATTCATGTTGTCTCATTCTCTTATGAATGTATTGTGATGTTTGGCCAATGTATTGTTTTTGACAATTTTTGCAAGAGATGAAATAAACTATGTTAGTATTGAATTTAGGAGGGGTGGTGGATTTAATTTTTGAAAACATTTCTTTAAAAGAATATAGAGCTGTTCCTGAAATAAAAATATTTTCTTCTTTGAGTAATTTGGCAAAATAATCAAATAAGCCTACAATGCAAGGCATGCTGTGAAAAGTTGGTTTAATATTGTTGTCTTGGAATAACTTGGAGATGGATTGATAATTGTTACTTTTATGATAGGAAAGTCTTTTATTGGTAATGGATTTTTGAATATGTATATATATATATATATATATACATGTATATGTGTTATAATATATGCACATCCATATATATTTGCTTATACTCGTATGTATGTTTTTGTATATACACTATATACATGCACTTGCGTATATGTTCATGTATATAATTGTAGATACATTAATATATAGATATGTGCATATGTATGTATGAGTATGTAGGTGTGCATATGCATGTTATGTATATATATACATAATATTTCTCAACATTTACTAAAGCAATATTTCCTCATATTATATATATATGTACATATTATATATATATATATATACACATATATATACATATATATATATATATATATATATATATATATATATATTATATATATGTATATATATATTAGGGTGGGCCAATTTTTTGCATATTGAGGCACCTCGCTAATTTAACTTTTTACATCATTTGGAACAATATTGTACAAAAAAAGCATAACCCGCAAATGAATTTAAAGTCAGCAAAAAATTTAAAACATTTTTTAATTTAAAGGAAAAATTGAAAAATCTCATGAAAAATATATTATGACATATATCGAATTATACATCATTTTATTTGTAATTTTATTCTGTATCTTTCGTACGAACAAAGATTTTTCGTATCTTTTACGGTTTAGATAGAATAAAGCAATCTGTGTAGTTGTTAACTTGTCAAAATGCAAAGTGCGGCTAGGTTGGAGCAATACTCCTCACGATTCGATATTTCTCTAAAGAAAACATATAAAGTATTATACATCATTAGAAAGGTCTCAAAATTCTTAGTTCTTTTTCCATATATCACAACTTCGAATTCCCAACGGTGTGGCCTACAGGCGAGTTGCCGTCGTGAAAATTCGGAAAAATCGGAAAATCTAGAGAAAATTATATGAACACACCTAACCATTCATATACCATTTTATTCGTAATTTTATTCTGCATCTTTCGTACGAACAAAGTTTTTTTGTATCTTTTACGGTTTAGATAGTATAAAGCAATCTGTGTAGTTGTTAACTTGTCAAAATGCAAAGTGCGGCTAGGTTGGAGCAATACTCCTCACGATTCGATATTTCTCTAAAGAAAACATATAAAGTATTATACATCATTAGAAAGGTCTCAAAATTCTTA